CACCTGCACGCAGCCCTGGAGAGGACACGACGTGTTGGAGCACGTGTTTGAATCCAAGCCAGAAAAAGAGATGCTCAGCTGCTGGTCCTGGGGATTTTTTGCCCCTCGTGCCCCTGCAGCCAGGAGCCAAGGGCAGCCCAGCCTGGTCCATCCCCAGGCAGCCCAACTCAATTTTCAATCCCGACCCTGCCGTTTAATGAAGCCGTTCTTGCGAGCCAGTCCCCCTCGCATACGTCTGACAGATGTCTCTTTTTTTCTTTTTTTTTCTTTTTTTCTTTTTTTTTTTTTTTTTTTTTTTTTTTTTTTTTTTTTTTTTTTTTGCAGTATTAAGCTTTTTTGCGAGGAAGAGGCTTCGCTTCGCCTCCTCCTTTGAGACACAGCCAGGCAGAGCGTGCAGCCCCTGTCCCCCTCACCGACAGCCCACAAACCTCCCCCTCTACGTGCTGGTAACCTAGAGAACCCTTTAATATTGTCCTCAAATCCTCAAAACGTCAATACCTAGTAAACTAAGGTGATGGCCTGCAACTGTGCACCTCTGGAGCTGACGGGAGGCAGGCGGGTTCAGGCTGTAGCTGAAAAAACATCCCACCCCCTACACGCTTCTCAGAGCGTTAAAAAGAGATTTCAAATCCACACGCAGTGACCCACGAGCGATCTGAAATGGTTTGCAGGCAGAAAAGGAGAAGAAAACAATGATATGTCAGTAAAAAAGAAAGGTAGGATACATCCGCTGCGATTTATTTAAGCAAAGGCAATAATTTAAAATCATCTGTATCGCCCTCAGATCAATAATGTTTTATACAAGAACTAGACAGAATTTATAAAGGATCCCGCTGTCGTTTTCACAGTAAGAATCTGCGATTAAAAATTTAGTCTTTAGGAAAAAAAAATCCAAACCTAAAAATCTGGGGGTTTTGGCAATTTTTTTTCTCTCCATGTGGAATTGAGGAGCCTTCTGGCTTGCAGGGAAGTATATTTTATACAGCTAAATTGTTTTTGACAAATGAAACTAAGTTATTGTTAATTACTCAACCTGTGGCCTTTACCAAACTGAAATATATGATTAAACAAAATGGCTCAGACAGCGCATTAAGCTTTGAGGCATGATTTTATTTTTTGAGCTCCAAAGCCTTTTCTTCAGAAAACAGAAAACGCTTTTTTTGTTGTTGTTGTTGTTGTTGTCACGACGGTTGGGTTGTACGACTCCCTGTATTTAGCCAGTGTCAAAATGCTCAAGGAAAAAAAAAAAAAAATTGTCAGAAGTAATTTTGTGATCCTCCTGACACAAAAAACACACACACAGCCACCCAGATTATATTGCACTCCACTTTGCGAGGCAGAAACATTATGCTTTGCAGCGTGCCTGTTGTGAGCAGGCGTTCGTTCCCAAACCACCGCGCTAGGATTTTCCTATTTTGATTGTTCAGGACAGAAAATGAGCTCCATAACCATGACTAAACAAAATATACCCTCCAAGAGCCCCAGCGTTTCTGATTCATTAATGAACACGGAATAAATAACGGAGAGCCACGCGGAAATCCCTGCGTTTAACTACACGAATAGCTGCCGCGGTAGAGCACTCTTTTTGATATTTCTATTGAAAAAATAGGAATAAAAAGAGCTTTCAGAGCTACCTGCTTCACTGCAGATTTTCCCCCCCCGCCCCCGGCAAAGCTAACAATGCAAAATCGCGCATCTGTCACACGAAGCACAAAAATACGCGCAAATGTCCCGCAGCTTTTGCAAACACGGTCGGAATAAGGGGACTTTTCCGAGCTTCCCGTCACAGCAGTAGCAAGAAAATGAAAAGAAAATAAAACAATAATAACAAACAAAAAAAAAGGTATTTATCTGTTTCCCAGCCGAGGTGCGAAGTGCCGCCGGAGGTGTAGGGGCATCTCACCTTCCCCAGCGCTCCCGGGGAGGGTTTCCCGGCTCGGAACGGTCTGTCTCTCACCCCGGGGGGGACAGAGGCTTTCCTCCCCTCTCCCCCCCCCCTTTATCCCCCACCCGCGCCCCTACTTTAGCCCCAGCCTAATATTTTCCATGCCGGACCATGAGCTCACGACGTTAAATCAAAACCGGAGGCGGGAGGGAACGTCGCTAAACCGAGAGGGCCGGGAGAGGAGTGGAGAAAGAGCGGGTGGAAAGGGGGGAAAAAAGAGCCGGAGCAAATTAAAACCATCTCAGAGCAAGATCGGGGGGCGGGCGGGAGGGGGGGAGCCCGGGGGGCAGCGAGTTTGGGGGTGGCGGGGAGCCCCTGGGCGCTGCCCCCATCTTTCTGTAGGGGACTGAGCCCCACGAAGGCAATTTGGGGAGTTTTATTCATTGCTTTATCGCCCGTTTGGTGAGGCAGGTTGGCATCTTTTCTTTCTTAATTTTCTCTTTTATTCTCATTTTCCTCCTTCTCCGTCTTTTCTTTTCTTCTTTCGTTTTCTTTCTTACGATTTTTCTTCTTCTTCGTTTTCTTCTCCTTTTCCTCCTTCGTTTTCTCCTCCTTTCCCCCCTCCGCTTTCTCCTCCTTTGCCACCTTCGTTTTCTTTTTCTTTCCTCCTTCTTCCTTCCCTTCCCCGCTATTTCCCCGCACACCCGCCTGCCCTCGGCCGGGCCGGGGAGGACACTCTCCCGCCGGTACAAGTCACCCGCGGAGCCCCGGGGGGCAACGTCTCCCGCCCCCTCTAACGATACCAAACTCTCCCCTTTTCTGGCTCAAAACCTGCGGAGGCAGAAGCCACCGGGGCAACCCCCGGCCCCGGGCGAGCAGCGGCGGCGGGTGAGCCCGGCTGCGGGCAGGACAGCGCTCCCGGGGCGGGGGGGAAAAAAGGATGTTCCGGGGGTAGTGGGGAGACCCCACATACCCCCCAAAAAATCGTCCCGTTGGATTGTCAGGGCAGGGAGAAAGACACCTGGTTTCCTCGGCCGCCTTTCGATCGCCTCCCGCCCGGAGGCTGCCGGCAGCCGGGGGCTGAGGACGGCAAAACTCATCGCCACGCCGCTCCCCCCGGAGGATAGCCGAGGGGTGGGGGGGGTAAGGGGGGGCGGGAAGCAAACACGAGGCACCCATCCCTTTGCGATTCCCAGCTGCTTTTTAATCGATCCGCTCTCTTTTCCCGACGACGAATTTCCAGCGCTCGGGGTTGGGGGGGTCGGGGGCACCGACCCCCACAGGAGCGCGTGGGG